AGGGTGAAGAGGCCGTAATTGGCCTCAGGCCGCGCCCGCTGGCGGAAAGTTCCCCGGGGGGGTGGGGTAGAAGAGGAATAAACGCCATAAATATAAACTCTTGGCGCTCCGCTCGGATTTCTTGGATCCGCGTTGGGCCCCGCTGGCGGCACATCCGGCGGCGCCCCGCCAGGGAAGAGGGTCCAGCGCAGATCCGAGAAATCCGCGCGGAGCGCCAACAGTTCATGCTTATGCGTTGTTTCTTCTTCTAGGGCGCGATGGCGTCCCTGAGCGGAGAGGCTTCGGCGGAGGCGGAGCCCAGCGACGGCGGTGTAGCCCTGACTGTGATCGGGCTGTCTCGCGGGGGCTGCAGCAGGGGCGGCCCAGCCCCGCCCCCCTTCGAGCGCCGTGGGGCACGCGCGGCGAGAGGCCTTTGGCCGTCTTTGGCGTCTGGGGGTGGGTGGGCGAGATGGGGGGCCTCTCTAGAGGAGGAGGAGGCGGAGGAGGAGGAGGCGGAGGAGGAGGAGGAGGAGGAGGAGGAGGAGGAGGAAGAAAAGGAGGAGGTGGAGGAGGAGGAGGAGGAGTAGGATGATGATGATGATGATGATGATGATGATGATGATGATGATGATGATGATGATGATGATGATGATGATGATGATGATGATGATGATGATGATGATGATGATGATGATGATGATGATGATGATGATGATGATGATGAGGAGGAGTATCATTCTTGGACGAGGAGGCCCCTTTCCTTAGGCCTCCCAATCAAATGGAGTCGAAGTAGATGGGGTCGGAGGATCGCGCCGCATCGCCGATGCATCGCCGATGCATCGGCGATGCGTCGCGATTTTTCGACCCTATCTACTCGGACCTCATCCAGGAGGCCTATACTTGCAGGGCCACTCTGGCTGTAAGAAGAACGACTCTGGATGTTGCCGTCAAGAGAACAACTCAGGATATGTAGCTGCCCCTGGAGATGGGGCCGCGAGTTCTGGGGACCCACGCTGTGAAAGCGATCACGCATTGTAGACGCTTCGCGTATACCCACCATATTCATCCGCTCTCTGGAATCGTCCTTGGAGCCGCAGATCAAAAGTATACCCACCATCCTCGCCACGCCTTCTCTGGCACCGGTGCTCTCCGGCGTTGGCTTTGGCCCGCTGGCAATCAGTTCCGGCCCGCTCTCGGGGCTCGTCCTTGGGGCCGCGGTCTGTGTGCTATTTCCCCCCCGCGCTCTCTGGCGCCTGTGCTCTCCAGCGTCGGCATTTGGCCCGCTGGCAATTTTCTTGCGTGCTGCCTCTTCTCGGTTCGGCCCGCTCTCTGGAATGCCGCTGCGTGCATTCGCTAATTGCACTCCGGCGTTGGCTTTTGGCCCGCTGGCAATTATCTTGCGTGCCTTCCCATGCTTGATACGACCCGCTCTCTGGAATCGTCCTTGGAGCCGCAAGTCAAAAAAAATATACCCACCATCGCTCGCCCTGCACGTGGGCCTGGCTTCTTTCGACTGTTGACGCCGCGCGGCTGCCCGCTAGCGGTTGCGAGCAAAAAAGTGTACCCACCAACCCATCCAGAAACGATGTCCAGGCGAATTGAGGTGATCAGGGAAATGCGGGAGCAACGAGGGGGACGGCCCAACCGTGCGAAACAGGGAGGACGAGAAGGAGGAGGCTGGATGGATGGATGAGGGAGTGGGGAGAAGGAGGATGAATAGGATGAGGAGGAGGAGGACGAGGAGGAGGAGGATGAAAAGGAGGAGGAGGATGAGTTGGAGGAGGAAGAGAAGGAGTAGGAACAGGCAGGAGGAACAGGAGGAGGAGGGCAAGCAAAAGGGCCAGAGGTCTCTTGGATGCCTTTCGGAGCCTCTTGGGGTATCTCTTGGGCGCTTCTTGGTGGCCTCTTGGGATGTCTTGGGGGTCTCTTTGGCGGTCCTGGGGGGCTCTTGGGCGTCTTGGGTGCTTCGGGGGGGCCTCTTGGGGCCGCTTGTGGTCCTCTTAGGGGCCTCCTGGAGGCCTCTTGGGGGCCTATTGAGGCCATCTTGGGGCCATCTTGGGACCTCTTTGGGCTTCCTGGGCGCTTCCTGGGGTCATCTTGGAGGAAATCGATCAAAGAATGGGGGGGGTGGCAATTAGCCTTGCCCCCCCCCCCAAGAGGCCAAAGCGGGGCCAAAACCAAAGTAAAACCAATGATTTTGGCTTCCTCGCCGAGGTTGTTTTGACGCCCTGACCGTTCGCAGAACCCCCCGTCCAGGTCCAGGGGAGGGGGTAGGGCGAGGGTACCCCCCTCCGAAGGGGGCAGAAGGGGGTTGGAAGAGGAGCCGCCCTAGAGCACCTACGCCCAGAGGGCTGGTGGGATTCGGGGGTCCAGGGCTGACATGGAAAGACGCACTGCACGTATTCGTTGTCGAGCGTTGTCCAGCATCTGGTCGGTAGCACCAGGATACGTGTCACTCTCGCCCCCTGGGCTATCCGTCCCTGCTGCCGCCGCCGACTGTCCGGCAGCGTCATCGTGGACGTGGTCGTGCAGAGCTCCGACACCGTCCGCGGGGTGATCGGGGGACGCTAGCTGGCCCCAGATGCTCTCGAGGCTCGAGGGTCGAGTCGAGTTCTTTCGTGCGTTTCTCGTTTTTTTTGCCCTGCCAGGGGGGGCCTCTCGTCGACACGGCCGGATCCTCCCCGAGATTCTTCCCGAGGGCACCCCTCGGAGAGGTCCCGGGGCCCCGGCGCCGTCGGCGGTGCGGGCGGGGGGCGCCGGCCCTCCTGGCTGCCCGCGGCGGAGAGGCAATGGGGCCTCAATCAGACGTCAGATGAGCCAGAGTTTCCAGGGTTTCAATGTGGTCGGACGGTGGAGGAGGAGGAGGTGGAGGAGGTGAAGGATGAGGATGAGGAGGAGGCGGAGGAGGAGGAGGTTAAGGAGGAGGACCCTGATGATGATGATGATGATGATGATGATGATGATGATGATGATGATGATGATGATGATGATGATGCTGATGATGATGATGATGAGGATGAGGATGAGGATGAGGATGAGTATGAGGATGAGGATGAGGATGACGATGATGATGAGGATGAGGATGAGGATGAGGATGAGGGTGAGGGTGAGGGTGAGGATGATGATGATGATGATGAGGAGGAGGAGGAGGAGGAGGAGGAGGAGGAGTAGGAGTAGGAGGAGGAGGAGGAGGAGGAGAAGGAGGAAGAGGAGGAGGAGAAGGAAGAGGAGAAGGTTCCAGGGTTTCAATTTGGTCGGACGGACTTCAGAGACGAGGGCCGCCATACACGACGGAATTCTCAGAGCGTGTCCTAAAGCGATCGTATCATGAGATCGTTCGCATCCCAAGTGGGACATGGGGTCGTCTTCTGTCGCCAATGCCCCCGAAATGCGGGGCGATGTGGAACCCGGTTTTATCCATCCCGACGTGGCCGATGCATCGCCGGTAAATCGGCGATGCGGAGCGATTCCAGGCCCCATCTGCTCAAGCCCCATTTGGCAGGCCTCTAGATGAGGAAGAGGAGGGGGAGGATGAGGAGGAGAAGGAGGATGAGGAGCAGGATGATGATGATGATGATGATGATGATGATGATGATGATGATGATGAGGATGAGGATGAGGATGAGGATGATGATGCTGATGCTGATGCTGATGCTGATGCTGATGATGATGATGATGATGATGATGATGCTGATGCTGATGCTGATGCTGATGATGATGATGATGATGATGATGATGATGATGAGGAGGAGGAGGAGGAGGAGGAGGAGGAGGAGGAAGAGGAGGACGATGAGTTCAAGGCCCGCCTCAGTTCAGCGCAATGTTTTTTAGCTGGTATACCCGTGCCTTGTACTCAGTTTTGTTCTCCTCCATCCTCCTCTCTCGTTCTTCAGCCCCTCGGGGACGTGTTGATGGGGCTAGGGGCCGTCTTGGGTCGTGCTGGGGGCTTCTCTTCTCAGGCCGTCGTGGAGCCGCCCGTGCCGTCTTTTGGGGCTTTCTTGAGCCGTCTTGAGCTCGTCTCGCGTCCGTCGGATTCTTCCCCAATGCCGTCCTGAGTTGAAAAGCACCCACAGTAAAAGCGTTGTGATCCGCTAGGTCTCAGGAAGGGAAAAACGCACAGATGCAATGAATCGTCGATTCCCAGGAAAATATGGGAACATATGGGAAGTGGGGGGGGAAGACAACAACCCAGAACATATGGGAAAGCATGGGGAATCCTGTTATTTGTGTCTATTTATTTGTGTGTCCCAGGGCCCCTTCGAGGTCGTCAATCCGCCACGCACCCGCCACTGGGCAAGAGCGAGTGGCGAGGCTCGACATCCAAGGCGAAGCGGCTCGCCGCAGCCGTCGTGTTGTTGTTCTAGTGGTTGTCGTTGTGGTTATTGTTGTTGTTGTTGGTGCTGGTTTTGTTGTTGTTCTTGTTATCGTTATTATGGTTGTTGTTGTTGTTGTTGTTGTCGTTGTGGTTGTTGTGGTTGTGGTGGATGTTTTTTTTTGGATTGTGGTTGCTGTTGCTGTTGTTGTTATTGTTGCTGTAGCTGTTGAACATTATTAATTCTAAAGAATAATTATTGTTGGGCCCCCTGGTGCGCGCCCCCCCCGCCGCGCCTAGGCCGCAGCCACGTTTTCATCATTTTCGTGAGGAAGCCTCAGGTAATTCGAGGTGATCAAGATCCGGTTGTTTTGTTGTAATCCGTTTTCCCTTGCAAAAAACACTATAAAATGACATTTCTTGTTCTAATATAATCAAATTTCAAGAATCCCTTGCAAAAAATAAGGTAAAGTGGACATTCGCGCGCGCAAGACGAAATCCTTCCAAAAGCTTAGTGTTCGGAAGCGATTTTAACATAAAAACATCAAAAAACCAATGGTTTTTCAACAAAAAAATGTCAAAATCTCATCCCGCGCGCTCTTGCGGATTCGTAGGAAACCCAACACTTTTTAAACATTTCTGTCAAACGGGCTTTTGCGAGCAACTTTTTCGAACTTCTGCGACAACGGTTGCGCACCTGCCAGGGCCATCATCCCTGTCAAATAATACCATGCGGGACACATTCGTTTTTTCTTCGCGCGCGCACGCCGAAATCTCCAAAAACCATTGGGTTCTTAAGAATTTTAGCACCGCGCATCATAAAATCACACGAATCGCACCGTAGGTCCTCGAAAAACACCTGCACGACTTTTCAAAATTTCCACCTGCTCCGAATAAGTGACCAAGTTCTGTGGGTGTGTACCCCACGCCAGTGTAGTAGCCACGGTCGTCCGCACGCCACGAAGTGAAGTGTCCCAACGTCATAGGGCGGGAAGCTGGGTTTGGGTGGTCGCGAAGAGTCGTTTGGATATTTGGTAGAGCTTGTAATGCCCCCCCACGAAGTGGGGGTATTGCCTGGTGTCGTATGAAAACCCTGGCACTGGGGAGAACACCACGCGTTCGGGTAAAATGATTGTTGTTGCTGTTGTTGTTGTTGTTGTTGTTGTTGTGATTGTTGTGGAATATTCATTTCTAGAGAATAAGTGCTGTCAATCTCTGGAAACGGTTCCGCGCGCTCTGGCCACGATGTCGGCTACATTTTCCTGAAAACAGAGGCTCCCGCTCCAGCGTTGGCTTGCGTGTAGATGTGGGTTCTTGGAGGCCTGGCTACGACGACAACGACTTCCGCTCGATACTTCCTCACAATTTACCCCGAGACACCATGGCCAAAGAGGCCCCCGAACTCAGGAACGGCACTCTCACTCGAGATTTCCTCGCAATTCAATCTAGTTGGCGGAGGCCCAGCCAAGGGCTCCTGCTCGATACCTCCTCGCGATTTGCTCCGAGAGCCCCTGGCCAGGAATGCCCCCGAACTCAGGAACGGCGCTCTCGCTCGAGACTGTCTCGCGACTCAATCAAGCTGGTTGAGGCCCAACTACGACGACAAGGGCTTTCGTTTCATACTTCCTCAAGATGTATTCGCAAAGGCCCTTGCCAGATAGGCCCCCGAACTCAAGAGTGGCTCTTTTGCTCGAGACTTTCGTGATTCGGTCAAACTGGTGGGGGCCCAGACACGGCGAAAAGGGTTCCCGTTCGATGTTTCTCCACATGTATTCCGGGAGCCCCTGGCCAGAGAGGCCCCCGAATTCAGGAACGGCGCTCTCGCTCGAGATTTCCTCGCACTTCAGTCAGTGGCCGACAAGGAAGATATTCCCTCCGTAAGTGGGTGCGATCGAAGACGAAGTGGGCGGGTATCGAGGTTTGGGTATACAGAATGTAAGACACACGTGCTTACACTTATTGTCGTTTCTTGTTGATGTTGTCGTCGTCGTCGTCATCGTCGTCGTCGTCGTCGTTGTTGTTGTTGCCGCTGTTGTTGCTGTTGTTGTTGTTGCTCCTGTCGTTGTTGTTGTTGCAGCTGCTGCTGTTGTTGATTTTGTTGTTGTTGTTGTCGTTGATGCTGTTGATGCTGCTGTTGTGGTTGTTGTTGTTGTTGTTGTTGTTGTTGTTGTTGTTGTTGTTGTTGTTGTTGTTGTTGTTGTTGTTGAACTCTCATTTCTGAAGAACAGTTATTGTTGATCCCCCCACCGGTGCATATTTTTTTGCAATCGATGTGTGCCCCTCGACGCTCGCACCTTGTTTTTTGACAGGGAACGTCTTGATGCTCAAATTGGGCCCCTGGCCCCCCCCAGATTACAACAACAATGTTTTTCGCTTGAGATTTCCTCCAAATTTACTCAGGACCCCCGCTCCTGAGACTTCTTCACGATTTACTCAGGATCGGTGCTCCCGCCTGTGACTTCCTTGCAATTTAGTCAGGACCTCCGCTCCCATGTGAGACTTCCTCACAATTTACTCAGGAACGGCGCTCCATTTTTGAGACTTCCTCGCAATTGAGTCAAGACGTCGTCGCAATTCAATCAAGGCCCCCGCTCCCGCCAGAGAACGCCTCACATTTTATTCAGGAATTGCGCTCTCGCCTGTGACTTCCATGCAATTTATTCAGACATCGTGCTTTCGACGCTCAGGAAACAGGCTGCGCCAAGGACGCCGTTATAATTTACTTAGTAATCGCGCTCTCGCCATACTCAGTCAACCCGCTTGAATGTCCCACCCGCCCGACCCGCCCGTCAGGGGGTCGCCCGCCCATCGTGGGCTCCCGCCCAGGACTTCCTTCAGGAACGGCGCTTTCGCCTAGGATTTCCTCGAACGTTCACGCTCTTACCTTCCTGCTCCTCCTCCCTCTCCCTCCTCCCTCCTCCCTCCTCTCCTCCTTTCTCTCTCTCTCTCTCTCTCTCCCTCCTTTCTTCCCTCATCCTGATGCCTCTCTGCCCCATCCCCTCTCCCTCCTCTCCCTCGTTCCTTCTCCCTCCCCTCTCCTGCCTCCTCCCTCCCTCGTTCTTTCTCTCGCTCCCCTCTCTCTCTCTCTTTCTCTACCTCTCTTATCTGTCGTTCTCTCTCTTTCTCTCTCTGCCTCTAATCAGCCGCCCCCCTCTTCGCTCCTTCTCTCCTGGCGTTTTCCATCTTCCTTCGTCCCTCCCCCTCCCTTCCTCCCACTCTCCCTCGTTCTCCCCCTCTTCTTTTTGCCGGGCCCACACCAATTCCAATGGCGGGCACATGTACGCCCACGAAGGATTGTCCGCCCGTTCAGGTTTGCCCGCCTGTGTAAGCCCGCCGCCCCCCGCAAAGAGAAATCATCCCCCCAAAGGGGGTGTGACCGAAGACAAAAAGGGCGGGTATCAAGAGTGTGGGGAACTCGTTTTGAATGACACGGGCAAGTAAGAGCGAACAGTCTTATAATAACCGTTGAACTTTCATTCGCATTGTTTTTCAATTGAAGTGCCCCTCCCTGCGCTCGCACTTGGTTTTTCTATCAGGGAATGTCTTGACGCTCAAACTGGGCCCCTGGCCCCCGGGTTACCACAACAGCGGCTCCCGCTTGAGACTTCGTCACAATTTAGCCAGGGCACCCGCTCCAGCCTGAGATTTCCTGGCATTTTATTCAGGAGTCGCGCTCTCTCTTGGGACTTCTTTACAATTTATTGAGGACTCGCTCTCTCGGCGCTCTGGAGTCGCGCTCTCGCTGGATACGTGCTTGCACTTTACGCAAGAATAGCGCCGCGCTCCCGACACTCAGGCGCCCAGGAGTCGCGCTGACGCCTACGACTCCCTCACACATTATTTAGGAATCGGGTGCAGCCCTTCGTTGCCCCCTTGCTGCCCTTCGTGGCCCCGTTGCAGCCCTTCGTGGCCCTCTCGCGGCCATTCGTGGCCCCGTTGCAGCCCGTTGTGGCCCCCTCGTTGTCCTTCGTGGCCCCATCGCAGCCCTTAGTGGCCCCCTCCGCTGCCCTTCATGGCCCCGCTGCAGCCCTTCGTGGCCCCCTCGCTGCCCTTCGTGGCCCCGTTGCAGCCCTTCGTGGCCCCCTTGCTGCCCGTCGTGGCCCCGTTGCAGCCTTTCGTGGCCCCTTCGCTGCCCTCCGTGGCCCCGTTGCATTCCCTCGTGACCCCCTCGCTGTTCTTCGCGGCCCCGTTGCAGCCCTTCGTGGCCCCCTCGCTACCCTTCGTGGCCCCGTTGCAGCCCTTCGTGGCCCCCTCGCTGCCCTTCGTGGTCCCACATATGTATGCCCTTCGTGGCCCCCTCTCGTCCGCGCCTGTCGTGGCCCCATATGCATGCACTTTGTGGCCCCGCTGTCGCCCTTCGTGGCCCCCTCGCTGCCCTTCGTGGCCCCGTTGCTGCCCTTAGTGGCCCCGTCCTTGCCTTCCGCGGCCCAATATACGTGTGCCCTTCGTGACCCCTGCTCGTTCGCGCCCGTCGTGGCCCCATGTGCATGCCCTTCGTGGCCCCGCTGTCGCCTTTTGTGGCCCCCTCGCTGTCCTACGTGGCCCCGTTGCTTCCCTCAGTGGCCCCGTCGTTGCCTTCCGTGGCCCTATTATCTGCTCTTCGTGGCCCCCGCTCGTTCGCGCTCTTCGTGGCCCCATACGCATTCCCTTCGTGTCCCCGCCGTCGCCCTTCGTGGCCTACGTGCCTTTCGTGGCCCTGCTGTCGTTCTCTCTCTCGCTCTCGTTTTCGCTCGTCGTCGTCGTCGCCGTCGTCGTCGTCGACGACGTCGTCGTCGTCGTGGTCGGTCCCCTGTCCGTCCCCCTTGGGGTCGGGTTGCCGCCGATCAGCGCTGCCGCTGGCCAGGCCGACGGTCCGCGGCCGCCCCGCCGCTTGCCGGGGCCTGGCCTGCAGGGAAGAAAGGTATACCCTCCAAAAGGGGTACGATCGAAGACGAAGAGGGCGGGTATCGAGGGTTCGGGAACTACGCGTCAACGGACATTCGAGCAGATAAGAGCGAACAGTCTTACAACGATTGTTGTTGTTGTTGGTATTGTTGTAACAGTTGTAATTGTTGTTGTTGTTGTTGTTGTTGTTGTTCTTGTTGTTCTTGTTGTTGTTGTTGTTGTTGTTGTTGTTGTTGTTGTTGTGGTGGTGGTGGTGGTGGTGGTGGTGGTTGTTGTTGTTGTTGTGTTGTGTTGAGTTGAGTTGAGAATATCTACATCTACACAATAATATTTTTTGATATCCGGAACCGGTTCTGGGCGCTCTGGCCTTGAAGCCGGTTACATCTTTTCTGTAAGCAAGGACTCCTGCATGAGCGTTGGCTTGAGTGTAGAACTGGGCCCGTGGAGGCGTTGCTACGACGATAACGACTCTCGCTCGATACTTCCTCACAATTTATCCCAAGACACCCTGGCCAGGGATGCGCCCGAACTCAGGAACGGCGCTCGCGTTCGAGACGTCTTAGCAAACCGGTTAAGTTGGCGGAGGCCCAGCCGCGACGACAAGGGCTCCTGCTCGATACTTCTTCACGATTTACTCCGAGAGCCCCTGGCCCGGAAAGCCCCCGAACTCATGAACGGCGCTCTCGCTTGAGACTTCATCGCAATTCGGTTAAGTCGGCGGAGGCCCAGCTGCGATGACAAGGGCTCCCGTTCGTATTTCCGGATGATTTATTCGCAAAGGCCCTTGCCAGAGAGGCCCCCGAACTCAAAAGTGGCGCTCTCGCTCGAAAGGTTCTCGTAATTCAGGCAAGTTGGCGGGGGCCCAGACACGGCGACAAGGAACCCCTGGCCAGACAGCCCCCCGAATTCAGGAACGGCGCTCTCGCTCGAGATTTCCTCGCACTTCAGTCAGTGGCCGGCAAAGTGGATATTCCCCCCCGAAAGGGGGTGCAATCGAAGACGAAGTGGGCGGGTATCGAGTGTTGGGGTTTGCAGAATGCAAGACACGCGTGTCCGTCAGAGCGAACAGTCTTAACATTTTTTTTTTTTTTTTTTTGTTTGTTGGTGTGTTTGTTTGTTTTTGTTTGTATGTTTGTTTGTTTTGTTTGTGTTTGTTTATGTTTGTTTGTTTTTGTTTGTTGTTGTTGTGGTTGTTGTTGTGGTTGTTGTGGTTGTGATTGTGGTTGTTGTTGTTGTTGTTGTTGTTGTTGTTGTTGTTGTTGTTGTTGTTGTTGTTGTTATTGTTGTTGTTGTTGTTGTTGTTGTTGCTGTTCTTGCTGCTGCTGCTGCTGCTGTTGCTGTTGCTGTTGCTGTTGCTGTTGCTGTTGCTGTTGCTCGTTGTTGTTTGTTTGTTTTTGGGATAAAATAGAACCAATGCACTTTGACGGTGGCTGATACACCTACGCCGACCTTGGCAACGTCCACCCTGGGCCTGGGATCTGCGTGCATGCCTTCCTGGCCAGGCCGGGTGGGCGTAACACGCAGATCTTGGGCCCAGGACGGGCAGGTCAGGACCGATGTATGTATGTGTGTGTGTGTGTGCGCTCACGACTGGAGGCCTTCGACGTTCCCCGGAGGCCTCTTGGAGGTCCTCCGGAGGTCCTCCGGAGGCCCCCCTCGGCCCGAAGAGCGCCCAGAGCGTCCGAGAACCTGGGTCCTCGACCCCCGATCCTTGACGCCCTCGTCCTGCACTCCGAGCTCCACATGACAGGCCCTTGGTGGTGGGGGCGGCGCCGCCGCCCCTGCCGACGGCCCTCTGGACCGACCCCTGCCGCGGACAGCCGCCGCGGGCCGAAGGCACGCGCGGCTCCGTGCGGCGACGTGGGCTAGGCCGACCCCCGCCGCCGGCAGGGCCTCCGCGCCCTCTCCCGGCACCCCCAGGACTGCGTGCCCCGGCGCGCAGCGTGCGCCCTTTGGTTCACCACCCACGGTTTGCATCCCAGTGTTCGACGTCTCGTTCACTGTGCTTTCGGCTGCGCTCGATCGCAATTCGCACTTCCGTCTGCTGCCCGCGCTTGAGGACCCTCTGCGCCGCTGACTTAAAGCTACGGCGCGCAGGGCAGGGTGGTGCTGGGTGCACGGTGCGGCTGGCATGCCACGCGGTGCAGCTTTGGGGGTCGTGTCAGGCGTCCACGGTGCGGCCAGCATCCCACATACCTTCGGTTCCACAGGACCGGAGATGCCACCCGCGCGCTGCAGTTGCGGAGCGGCGCCTGCGAGGATTGCCCTGCATAGAACGTGCGCGAAAGATTGGCATGACATTGGCTTGCACTGGAGATGCCGATTTCTCGTTTCGGGTTGTGCGCGCCAGTGGAGGCCAGAGGTTCCCTGCCCGCGCGTGCCCCGCTGAGGTTGTGTGGCCGCCGGGATGTCTGCTCCCAGTCGCCTCCTCCTCCTCCTCCTCCTCCTCCTCTTTCTCCTCCTCCTCCTCCTCCTCCTCCTCCTGCAACAAGACATCGCAGGAGGGCTTGTTGAGGCAACGGCGGCTTTCCCGCCCGGCCCGAGTCTGCTCAAAATCGGTTCCCCGACCCTGCCAGGGGTCCACCCTGGCATGTTTTTCAAGGCGGATGCAGCCGTGGTGACGATACGCATCCACGAGTCCCTCGTAAGGAAAACAAAAACGCCAGGGCGGGTTGCCGTTGTCGAGACTGGGCGTCCCTTCGAAATAACCGAAACTGCGCGCAGAGCAGGTGAAGCAGCGCCTCTTTGAGCTGCGCCCGTCGTCGCCGCCGCGCTGGCAGCGGCTGGTGCTTGGCGGCCGGGTGCTCCAGGACGGCGAGCTCGTCGGCTCCCTCGAGATCTGCGCCGGTGGCGTGACGCTGCAGCTGCTGTCCTTCGTGCAGGCGCGCGACCTGCTCGAAAGCGATGCAGAGGTGGCTGGCTGTGCGCGCGAGGCGCTGGGGCACATGACCGCGGCCGCCGCCCGCCCGCACCTGGCGGGGCTGCTCGAGGACTCGGATGGCAGGAGGCTTCCCGCCGCGGCGGCGGCGGACGTGCTTCACCAGCCCCGGGGGCAGCTCGGGGCCCTGGGGGGCAGCGAGGTTCGGCTCCCCCCTCGGCCCTTGGAGCTGGAGGAGGGGTCGGAGATCTACTGACCTGGGTCACTGCAGGCTTGGGTGTGTCGGGCTCTGGAGGATCTTGCAGCCTTCGGGAGGATCCTGCAGGACCCTGCGCGCTAGCCCAGGTCGATGCAACCCTGTCTTTGCAGGATCCTGCAAGATCCAGCGCTCGGGCTGACCCCCGTTTGCATTGTCCCCCGTTTTGAGGCTCCCGACGGGGCGTGGGGGGATGGGGGTGGGGTCAAGGTCCCAGTGAAAACGCCGCAAGCTATGTCGCTCACGCCCACCCGCCCTCCCACTACAGAACTTAACAGCCGTGTCTCAGCATAGGCGGGGGCCGTCATCGACGACCGTCAATAACTGCACACGCCAGCCATGTGCGCGAAATCTGGGAGGTGCGCCGCACATGCCAGGTGCGCCACATTGGACAATATTCTGTCGACCCACCCACCATCCCTGTCAAAAACCAATGCAAAGTGACGGCAGGTTGATGGCATTGTGTATCGTGCGTGTGGGTGCGCACTCTCAAGCCATTTGTACTTGTTTTGGACATGGATGGTGGGCCTGTACACAGTAGGCAGTATTCCGCCCCCCTCCCGCCATCCGTGGCAAAGTGCATTTTGTAGCTTCTTGTTGAAAGGCACGGTTGGCCTGGACGCAGCAGAACAGATGTCCGCCCTCCGCCGTCCCAATGCAAAGAGGTCGCGGGGCGTCCGCGCATGGCCCAGATTTCGGTGCAAAGTGCTATTTGTATTGTATTTTTCCCCGGAATCGTTGCAAGACCCGTTCACGGTTCGAGGTGCAGCATCAAATGAGCCTCTTCGCTGGCATCATACATGACGTGATGCACGTGGTGCAACATACCACCGGATGCGGCGGAGGCGGCAACGGCGGCGGAGGAGGAGGAGGAGGATGAGGAGGAGGAGAAAGGGGGCGGAGGAAGAGGAGCCACGACCTCGCCACCGCTGCGGCCCCCAGCCGCCCTGGAGCGCGGCTGCGGCTGCGGCACCCGCGCGCGAGCGGGCGGCTCGGGTGCGGCTGCGGCACGCCGGGGTGCGGCTGCGGCACGGAGGTGCTGCGGGCGGCGCTGTTACCGCTGGCGGTCGAGCGGCTCCTTGAGGGGGAGGCCAGCCCTCGTCGTCGTCGTCGCCGTCGCCGTCGCCGCCGCCGCCGCCGCCGTCGTCGTCGTCGTCGCCGTCGTCGTCGTCGTCGTCGTCGTCGTCGTCGTCGTCGTCGTCGTCGTCGTCGTGGTCGTCGTCATAAGCGTGGTCGTGAGCCTCGTCGTCGTCGTCGTCGTCGTCGTCGTCGTCGTCGCCGTTGTCGTCGTTTCGTAGTCGTCGTCCTTCTTTTCGTTCTGCCCCTTCTTCCTCATCCTCCTTCTCCCTCGCTCCCTCCTTGCCCCTCCTGCTTCTTCTCACGCTGCCGCTTCTCGTCCTGATCCTCCCGATTCGGATCTTCCTCCTCTTCGCCTTCTTCTCCTCCTCCTTCTCCCTCCTCGCCCCTTCTTTGCTTCCTCCTTCCTTCTTCCTCCCTCCCTCTCTTCCGCTCTCCTTCCCTCCTTCCATCCAGCTCACCATCCCCTTCTCCTCTCTTTCCCTCTCTCTCTCTCCTCTCTGGCACGCCATCAGAACGAGCCCGTGGCGTCATCTCTTCTCCTCCTCCTCCTCCTCCTCCTCCTCCTCCTCGCCCTCCTCGCCCTGCTGGTGGTGGGACCTGTGAGGAGAGCCAGGTCAGGGGGGCTCCGCTGCCTTACCCGGGGTGTGCCCGCGCCGTTGCGGCTGGGCCCGTCGGGCGCGGCCAAGAGGCTCCGCTTCGATCCGATCCGATTCGACACCGGCTCCAGTCCGCTCGATCCCGTCCGCTCGACTCGATTCCGACATTCCAACGTCGATGATCCTCAGGACGTGTGTTTACCCCCTTCAGCCCAGCCAGTAGATCATTACACCGCCTGCGTCGTGTCGAAGGGCCTCGATGGACAAACACACGTTGGGGCTAACGCACGTTCTGAGGATCATCGACAACGATCCGATGCGTCCTGTTCCTTGCGCGAGCGCTGTTGTGCATCCTGGCGCGGCCGATCCGAGCCGATGTCGGCTCCGTGCCGACGCAGCCCGACCCGACGCACGCTCCGATGTGATCTGGTTTCGCGATATGGCTGATCTGATCCAGCCACCGCCGTGAAGGAAAGGCGCCTTGAGGGCAACGAGTCGCAGACTCCCCGGCGTTCCCCGGGACCAGCTCGGGCCCTTCTCTGACGGTCCCAGGGGCCCGTGGAGGGACCCGGTGCCCCGAAGACGGCGACGAGCTCTCAGGACCCCTGCCCTTGCGTGCTGGTGTTCTCCTCTCTGCGCCCATTCGGGGCGACCCCTCTCCTCGGGCCCGTGCCCGCGCCCGAGCCCAGGCTCCGAGCCCGAGCGCGAGCCCGAGCCTGAGCGCGAGCGCGGGCGCGAGCGCGAGCACGAGATCTTGAGCGTGGGCTACAGAGAAAACCAACGTCAAGAAACACCCTGCTTGCCTCCAGGGTGCCCTTGGTTTCTTGGGTTTCGATGGCTTTGCTATGGAAAGCGCGACGCTCCCACACCAAAAATCAATGGACGTCGTGGGGCCTCGGGGCTGGGTTTCTTGTGGAAGGCTGCTTGTGGTCGGGCTCGTACTGTATAAGCCCGAGCCCGAGCCCTGGCCCAAGGTGTCCCCGAGATTTCCAAAGAGGCACCCACGGCCTCCAGAGCACCCCTCACGAAGCCACAGGGGCCCCAGGCTATCCAAGACTGAGCGAAAAGCTGGGGGCACCTTGGGCCAGGATCACCTTGAGCAACCCCCGATCTAAGCCCGAGCCAGAGCCCGAGCCCTCCCCAGGCGCGCCGTCTGGTGCCCCTCTTCGAGTGGCTCGGCGACGAAGCCGTGCCGCGCCTCGTTGCCCGGCTCGGCCTGCTTGACCGGCCGCTGGCGCCGCCGGCGCGGGGCGCGGCGGAGCAGCTCCGCAAGCACGACTCCGCGCGAGTGCGGCTGGCCGCACGGCACGTCGTCGTCGTCGTCGTCGTCGTCGTCGTCGTGGTCGTCGTCGTCGTCGTCGTCGTCGTCGTCGTCGTCGTCGTCGTCGTCGTCGTCGTCGTCGTCGAGGCTGTCGTCGTCGTCGTCGTCGTCGTCGTCGTCGTCGTCGTCGTCGTCGTCGTTGGACGTGGAGGTGAAGGAAACAGGCGGGAAGGGATGAGGGGGTGGAAGTGGAGGGCGAGCAGGGGATGAAGGAGGAAGGAGGAAGGAAGGGGAGGAAGAGCAGGGGGATGAGGGAACTTGGAGGAGGAGATCGTGGACGAGGACGAGGAAGAGGAGGAGGATTCTGAGGAGGGAGATGCAGAGAAGGGGATGAGGCGACTCGCCGATATCGCTACTTTTCCTTCGATATGTGGCTTTCTTGACGTGTCGTCGTCGTCGTCGTCGTCGTCGTCGTCGTCGTCGTCGTCGTCGTTATCGTTGTCGTGTTCGTCGTTGTCGGGGGAGGGTCTGGAGGATGAGGGCGAGGAGAAAGGAGGGGGTGGAGGGGGGCGATGAGTGGATTGAGGGGGAGGCTGAGAGGGACGAGGGAGCTTGGAGGAGGAGGGCGAGGAGACGTAGGAGAAGGAGGAGGAGGAGGAGGAACAGGAGGAGGAGGAGGAGGAGTGGGGCGAGGGGTCTGAGGACTGGTGGCGTCGGTACCTTCTTATGCTCCCCCGCAAGGGCCGCCCTCGACGGCCGTGGCACGCACTCCTCGGCCGCCAGGGTTGAGGATCCCCTCCTCGTTCTTCTTCTCCTCCTCCTCATCATCATCATCAGCATCATCATCATCATCATCATCTTCCCCTCTCCCTCCTCCTCCTCCTTCGTCTCCGCCTCCTCCTCCTCCTCCTCCTCTTCCTCCCCCTCCTTCTCCTCCTCCTCCTTCTCCTCCTCCTCCTCCTCCTCCGTCCCCCCCTCCCTCCGCCGCCCGTCTCTCCCGCCCTTCTTCGCCTCCTCCCTCCGAAGGCCTCGGGGGCCCCGGGGACCTTCCTGGAGACCTCTTCCAGGGCTTCCGAAGATCTCTCACTCCTCCTCCCTCCCTCCCTCCTCCCTCCCTCCTGAGGCCTGGACCCGCCCCCCTTTTAAGGAAGCTCGCCCCTTCCACAGACCGGGTCCGGGCGAGTGCGCGCTGCCCCCACTGGACGTCTCCCTGCGGGCGCTGCCGGCCGAGAGCCACGAGCTCAACCCGTCCGGCATGGTGCTGTCTGCTGCCAGTCGAGGCCGCGCCTCCTCGCCGCTGCAAGGAGGCTTGGCTGCGCGGCAAGCGTCGGTTGCGTGCCTTGGACTGCCGACGTCAAGCCTGCGGCTTTGTCCTCTCCGGCCCTGTTCAGCATCCTGGCCGTCGATCACAATCGTACTCTTGGCCGCCCTCACCCTAGGGGTGGGGATCAATCAGGCCAAGGTGGTCTTCGCGCAGTTCAGCCCCTGGTGCCCGGCGGTCTTATCCGCTCCTGCCCTGGTCAGCGTCCTGGCGTCGATCACAATCCTGCTCATGATCGCCATCAAATTCTGGGTGGGTATCAGTCGGGCTACGTTGGTCTACGCGCTATTCAGCCCATGGTGTCCCCTCCGGGTTATTCCCCAAAGTTGCCCGCCATCTTGTCAAAGGATGCTCTTCAGACAGTCCGCCAGTCCTGGTCTTGGTGCTCTCGCTGCGCAACCCTGAGGCCCCTTCAAATCAGATGCTGGAAGCTTTGCCTGGGCCGGTCTTTGTGGAGATCGGGGTGCCGAGGCGCGGTGTCTCATTCGACGTGCCGCCCTCGCCTTGCCCACTGCCCCGCCCAGACGAGGAGACTACGGCCGCGCCGCGCGTTGGCCGGGCCTGCCTGAACACCGCCGCCGAGTGCCAGCAGCAGATCGCCGTCCTTGCCCAGCAACGCGACCCCACCATGATTGGGAAGCTTGCCGCCCTGCTCGCCACCTGCACGGGGCAGGAGGGCTTCCTCTACCTCGAGGTGCGCAACGCGTTCGGCGAGCAGCCGCACCCGCTGCACATGCGCCGCCCTGCAGGTGGCATCCAGCCGGCATGCGTGTGCGCGTCTGTTTCGGGCGCCCTCTGCGTGGGTCGCCCCCGGTCGCTCGCCCCGCCAGCTTTGGCAGCTTGCCCCTCGCCGCCCCGGCCCTCCTGGCTCCCCTTGTCGGGCGTGTGCGTGCATGCCTCGTGTCTCGCACACGTGCCGCGTCTGACTCTTTGTTGTCTAGATGCCGTGCGGTGGCGCGCAAGACCTGGGTCCAGGTCCACACTGCTTTCCGCGCGCCGCCCAGCAGAGTGACATCGAGCACGCCCCGCGCGAAGCCGTCATCGAGCAAGGGAGGCCTTCCTCCTCTGCCCTGCCTCCCTGCTCCTCCTCTCAGGGGACCTCCGTCCGCCTCCCCCTCGTCGTCGTCGTCCTCGTCCTCCTCCTCCTCCTCCTCTTCTGGGCCTTCGGGGACCCCCTTGTCGCCGCGGCCGGGATCCGCCTCGGCGACCTGGCCCGTCTGTTTTCCAGATGACGTCCAGGGTGTCCACGGGCCCCTCTCCAGGGCAGCAGCGGGGGGGCGAGAGGGCATTTGCATGTCGCGCATCGCCGGGCGCGATGCGCGGAGCCAGGTGGCCCAGAATACAGGGCAGACCGATGGAGGCTCGGCGTCGTTGGTTGGTGTCTCTCTCTCCCACCCTCCCAGACTGCTGCCGACGTTGTCTTAGGAACAGCGTGGTGGACCCCCAGAGGTCTCGATCCCTTCCCCGCGGCCGGCTTTGCATCCCCAGCTGTGCTCTGACGGCCCCAGGGCCTGGCACAGAAGTCGCCCACAACTTGGGTTTGTCCGGGGGTCAGAGAACGGGGCCGTCTGTAGGAATGGCCCCACACGGGGCAGGGAAAGCGATTAAAACGGAAATCCGTTTTCGTTTTGGTGTGAAGGTTTTGGGGGTCAATTTGTTGTTTTGAATTTTGTTTGGGTTGTGGGCTGTGGTCATAACCTCCCGTCGTCATTTTTTTTGTGACGCGAGGGCGGTTGTGGCCTGCAGCCATCGTACTGCCGTAAGGGACGCAGACGAAGGAACGAAAGGGGTTTTCTGGCCACGGCGAGCCTCGGCTGCGAACAGGTTGCCCGACCTGGATTTGAGGAACTTCCCGAAAGCCAGAGCCGCTCCTGAGCTCGAAGTGGCCCTTGTGTCGCCACCTTGACAGTCACTGTGCAGGAGCTGGCGTCTCTGCGCGCGGACGAAGCTCGTCAAAAACCTTCCGTCGCGTTTCTTTCGCGACGCGATGGGGTCGGCGGCGCGCTCATTGGGGAATCGACTAGACGTGAAGAGTGACCCTTCGCCGGGGTGACCTTTGGTGCGGGCCCACTGGGGCCTCCCGATCGCCGAACCCGATGCGATAGTAGCGCCTTGCGCGCCTGGGTTTAGCCCCCCCGCGGCCACCAGAAAGCTGCGCACGAAAGGCCACTCTGACCCAGGGCCACTCTTGCAGGAGGAGGAGGAGGAGGAGGAGGAGGAGGAGGAGGAGGAGGAGGAGGAGGAGGAGGAGGAGGAGGAGGAGGGAAGCGAGAGAGGGGGTGGGCCTTCTCCGGAGGCTCAGAAGGCCTCCAGCCCGAGAAGCCCCGGCGCCCTCTGAGAAGGCCTGCCCCCCTCAAAGATCCCCTCGCCGTCCATTCTTCGGGCCGCTGCTCGGGCCTCTCCGGCGGCTGTCCGGGACATTCCGGGCACGCCGCGAACGCTCTTGGCGAGGCGCAGCTGCTGGACCGCACCCCGAGGCTGGCAAACCGCTGGGCACCGACCAAACGCTGGGAAACCACGAAGCTCGAACCTCGACCCCGAGTCCTCCCCTCTCGGGGCGCCGCCGAGCGTGGTCTGCGCCCGCAAGGAGCTGGCGTCCCTGCGCGCGGGGCTGCGCCGGAGCGCGGCGGCCGCTGCCACGCCGGAGGAGCGCGCCGCGCTGGAGGAGCTCGCCGCCGCCTTCTCGGAGAAGCTGCGGGACCTGGCCGACCGCGGCGAGAGCGCCAAGGCCTGCTACGCGGCGCGCCGCGCGCTGAGGCGCTGAGGCGCCGAGGCGCCGCGCGTGGCGAGGCCGCCTGCTGCGGGTCGGCCTTCCTACCTTCGATCCTCGAGGGCTTCTCCGATGCCCGGCCCTTGGTCCCCTTCGGTCCTCGGCCCTCTTCGATCCTCGGCCCCTTTCGATGCTCGGTCCCCTTCATCCTCGGCCCCCTCCGACCCTCGGCCCCCCTCCCTCCTCGGCCCCCCTCCGTGCTCGGTATCCCCCGGGCCTCTTCGACCTCCCCGGCCCGCCTCGGTCGACCCCTCGAGCTTCGGCGCCCCGACTCCTCTGCGACCGCCTCCTCGCGGCGCGCGCAGGGCCGCGCCCGCGCCCGCAGCCGGGGCGCGCCCGCGCCCGTGACGGGGGCGTGCTCCGCCGGGGCGCTCCGCCGACCGCGCGGGAGCGCGGCGCCCTCCGGACCCAGGCAGCCGGCCACTCGAGAAGCTCGAGGCGGCGGCCCCTCTCGCTGGCCTCGGCCTCTCCCCTGAGATCCCGGCGACTCCTTGCTTGTGTCGAGCCGGGCCTTTGCGCGCCACTTCGGGCCCCGGGACCCTCACAGATCGATCCAGCTCGAAGAGTGGCGCAGGAAGCTGGGGCCGGGGGTCCAGTCGTGACTTTTCGGCGATGTTGCGCATTTTTTTGCAACACCGGATCCCAGGGTCTATGGGGGTCCTCGCCCAGCCCTGGGGCCGCCCACGCACGCACGGCTCGGGATGGACAAACCTCACCACCGAGCGCGTTCCATTACTCGCAAAGTGCCTACTCGCAAACGTCCGAACAAATACACAGCTGCCTCGACGTAACGGATCGTGAACCCCCCGCGGCGGATCCAGGTCATCTGCGAGTAGCTACTTTGCGAGTAGTGGAGCGCGCTTGTCTAAAGCGGCCCCCGGAGAATGCGTCAAGGGGTCGGGCGCCCGTGTCTCGGAACCACCGAGGCGCCGGATGCCCGGGGAGTTTCGGTGCGCGCCCCTCCGCCCGGGGAGCGGCCGCTCTTCCCGGCGCCCCGCCCCGCCGCCCGAGAAAGGCGTGCCCGAGCCCCCGCGTGCTGCCGCGCCGTGTTCTCTCCCGGGTGTGCGCTCTCTCGCCGCCGCCTCCTCGTCCTCCTCCTCCTTCTCCTCGCCTGCTCCTGCTTCTCGCCTGCTCATCCTGCTCCGCCTCCGCCTCATCCTCCTCCTGCTCCTCCGCCTCTGCCTCCTCCTCCGCGGCCGCCTCCTCCGCATCCGCCTTCTCTTCCCTCCTCCCTCCTCCGCCGCCTCCGCCTGCGCCGCCTCCTCCACCTCCGCCTCCGCCTCCGCCTCCGCCTCCTCCTGCTCCTCCTCCGCCTCCGCCTCAGCCTCCTACTCCTCTGCCTCAGCCTCCTCCGCCCCCCCCTCCGCATCCCGGCGCACCCCTCGGCCGTGTTTTTTTGGGCTGCCTTGCGCGCCCCCGCCGCCCCGTCCAGGGTCGACCAAGAACCAAACGACACCGCCCCGCCCACGACCCGCCGAGCTGGGCTGTTGCGACCTTGCCGCGCACCCGCTCTTGGAGAGGCCTCGGCCTCCGTGACAGCACGTAGAGGCAGAACGGGGCAAGCGCCTCAACCTTCGAGGCGGGGTGGGGTCGCTTGGCTTCTGGAGTCCACGGGGGCCACGGCCCCGCCTCTCCCGGCGGGCCTCTTCCGGTTCTCCGCCTGTCCTGGGCGGGGGCTGCTCCACAGCTTCTGGAGTCGGCCGGGGGCCTGCGGCAGCCCAGCGCCCGGGCCTTGGCGCGCAGGAAGGGCGGGGGCCAGGTCTGAGGCTCTCTGGGCTCAGCCGTGCTCGGGCCGCCGGACCGTCAAGAACGGCCCAGGTGGGCAGACCCCCCACCCTGACGCGTCGACTAGTGGATTGGTCCGTTCTCGGTTCTCGAGAGGGCGCCGCGACCGTCATGTTCCCCCGAGACACCCTGGCCAGAGAGGCCCCCGAGCTCAGGAACGGCGCTTTCGCTCGAGACTTCTTGCAATTCAGTCGAGTTGGCGGAGGCCCAGCCACGACGTCAAGGACTCCTGCTCGGTACTTCCTCACGATGTACTCCGAGAGCGCCTGGCCAGGAATGCCCCCAAACTCAGGAACGCTGCTCTCGCTCTTGAGACTTTCTCGTGATTCAGCCAGATTTGGTGGAGGCCCAACTACGACGACAAGGGCTCCCGTTCGATAATTCCTCAAGACGTATTCGCAAAGGCCCTTGCTAGAGAGGTTCCCGAACTCAAGAGTGGCGCTCTCGCTTGAGACTTTCTGGTAATTCAGGGAAGTTTGTGGAGGCCCAGACACGGTGACAAGGGTTTCCCGTTCGATATTTTTCCATATGTATTCCGAGAGCCCCTGGCCACAGAGGCCCCCGAACTCAGGAACGGAGTTTCTCGCACTTCAGTCAGTGGTCGACAAGTAATGTTTTCCCCCCGAAAGGGGGTACAATCGTAGACGAAATGGGCGGGTATCGAGGGTAAGGGTATATAGAGACTACAAGACACGCGTTCCAGCAAGAGCGATCAGTCTTAAACTGATTGTTGTAGTTGTTGCTGTGATTGATGTTTTTCTTGTTATTGATGTTGATGTTGATGTTGCTGTGGTTGCTGCTGCTGCTGCTGTTGTTGTTGTTGTTGTGGTTGTTGCTGTTGTTGTTGTTGTTGTTGTTATTGTTGTTGTTGTCGTTTGTTGTTGTTGTTGTTGTTGTTGTTGTTGCTGTTGTTGTTGTTGTTGTTGTTGTTGTTGTTGTTGTTGTTGCTGTTGTTGTTGTTGTTGTTTGTGTTTCTGTTTGTTGTTGTTGTTGTTGTTGCTGTTGTTGTTGTTGGTGTTGTTGTGGTTGTTGTTGTTGTTGTTGTTGTTGTTGTTGTTGTTGTTGTTGTGGTTGTTGTTGTTGTTGTTGCTGTTGTTGTTGTTGGTGTTGTTGTGGTTGTTGTTGTTGTTGTGGTTGTTGTTTTTGTTGTCGTTGTTGTTGTTGTTGTTGCTGTTGTTGTTGCTGTTATTATTGTTGCTGCTGCTGCTGTTGCTGCTGCTGTTGTTGTTGTTGTTGAACATTATTTATTCTAAAGAATAATTATTGTTGGGCCCCCTGGTGCACGCCCCCCCTGCGCCGCCTAGGCCGCAGCTACATTTTCATCATTTTCGTGAGGAAGCCTCAGGTAAAACGATGTGATCCAGATCCGGTTGTTTTGTTGTAATCCGTTTTCCCTTGCAAAAAACACTATAAAATGACATTTCTTGTTCTAATATAATCAAATTTCAAGAATCCCTTGCAAAAAATAAGGTAAAGTGGACATTCGCGCGCGCAAGACGAAATCCTTCCAAAAGCTTAGTGTTCGGAGCGATTTTAACATAAAAACATCAAAAAACCAATGGTTTTTCAACAAAAAAATGTCAAAATCTCATCCCGCGCGCTCTTGCGGATTCGTAGGAAACCCAACACTTTTTAAACATTTCTGTCAAACGGGCTTTTGCGAGCAACTTTTTCGAACTTCTGCGACAACGGTTGCGCACCTGCCAGGGCCATCATCCCTGTCAAATAATACCATGCGGGACACATTCGTTTTTTCTTCGCGCGCGCACGCCGAAATCTCCAAAAACCATTGGGTTCTTAAGAATTTTAGCACCGCGCATCATAAAATCACACGAATCGCACCGTAGGTCCTCGAAAAACACCTGCACGACTTTTCAAAATTTCCTACCCGCGCGCGCTGTCCGAATCCTAAAAAAACCAATGGTTTTCCAACATTTATGTTACATGAGCTCGCGCGAGCTACTTTCGCACGCTCTTGCAACGGGGTTCGCGCGCCTGCCAGGGGCCATAATCCCTTGCGGTTGCGCCATAGGTTGCGCCCTCGGCCGCCGAGAATAAAACGCCCCCTATTGGTTGCGCCATAGGTTGCGCCCTCGGCCGCCGAGAATAAAACGTCCCCCTACTGGTTGCGCCATAGGTTGCCCCAGGAGGCCTTCAAGAGGCCCCAAGAGCCCGCCGTGAGGACCCAATAAGCCCCCAAGAGGCCCCAAGATGCTTCCAAGAAGCCCCCCAAAGCCCCTCAAGAGGACCCCAAGCGGCGCCAGGAGGCTTCCCCCCTTCCCCAAGAGGACCCCAAGCGGCCCCAGGAAGCCTCCGACTGATCACTGTCACATCCGTAGCCATCTCGGATCAAGGTATCGCCTGTGTTCTTGGATGGGTCATGGCTTTGTCGGCGAAAGCCCTTGACGACCAGTATGGCCCAGAGCTGTCGCGGCCTCCCTTGGCCGACTGCGAGAGCCCGTATTATTTGCATCAGGCGCTCGTTGCAAAGGGTATCCAGGTCAGTCACCAGGCGTGCAAGACTTGGTGGGGCAAATATCGGGTTGTGCCTGGCAAGGTTAGTATTTCTAGCGCCCAGGAGCTGGAGGAGCAGCACGGTTCTGCCATCCGCCACCTGGGCATCGAGTATAATACACCTTTCAAATTATGCGGGGCGCTCCGACAGTTGGATCCACCACTGTATGTGACAGATCAGGTCGCAAAGATGTGGCTACTGCAGTATTCTTCCAAAGAGACGCTTGTCAAAGTGCAGAACGCTGGCCATCTGGAGACCTGGTATGGAGAACGTATTCGCAAAGACATGCCCGAGGGGACTACTGACGGGGCCGTGTTGAAGCAGTGGCTCCTGGGACATTTATCTGTATCTGCTGACGCCAGGGTATGCCAGAAGTGGCTCAGCACGGAGTGGGGCGCCAAGGGAGCATTGAATACTGCCCAAGCTGTGGAGGAATGTATAGGCCAGCGTCTTCGACTCAATCAGTATCGGGAGAGCTTCGCCGATGAGGCCGCCGCGGAGGTCCTCTCGCAGCTTCTCTCGGAGAGCGACCCTCCCGTCGCTGTCAGCGGTATGGTTTTGAGGCAATGGTACGTGAAGTATCACCCTGACTCTGGACCTTTGCAGTATGACACGGCTGAAAAGCTCGACGCGGCACTTGGTGACCACATGCGCGCGGTATATCCAGGGCTGAAGTACCACACCTTGCATACCGTGTTGCGTATGCGACGGAAAGCTGTCTTGGTGTCCCGAGGAGTGTTGAGACAGTGGTGCGATGCGTATGCGTCGGTGAGCTCTTCAGTGCAGGCGACGGCTTCATCCGCCCAGGCCGTCACCAGGC